CTGCACCTCTTTCTGTAATTAGGGATGGTGTGACACCCACCGCCTAGGAAAGGTGAGGATTACAGGGACAATACATGTAAAGCGCTCAGAACATTGTCCTGCACACAGAAAGCACTCTCTATATGTTAAGTGTCATTATTGTGTCTGGATTTTGGACTTATCTTAAATTTCTGAAAATATGGTCCCACTTTGGAACCATCCCACTTGGAAAGAGAGAGGAAGAGAAGTTGTCATGGCCCCTCGACCACCAGTGCAGATGTTCTCATTTGTTTCCCCAGGAACCCGGGACTTTGTGGCTTGCAAACATCTGAGAAGCTACAAGTATTACTTGGAGAGCATCCTCAATTCTGATGGGTTTGCTGCATACCCCTGCGACTCCTATAGGACCTTTGATTCTGTAAGCTATTTTTCTACCTTGAGTCCCTCTGTGGAACTATTGTCCTTCTGTGTTTGGGATTTGCAGCACCCTCTCACCCGTTTCTGACCATCCCCTACTTGTTTTGCATTGCCTCTCAGAGTTCATGGTCCTGTGGAGTGAAAGAAAAAAAAAAAATTAGGCAGGAGGTAGCTAAAATTCTAGATGAGTCATGTGGGCAAGGAAGACTGGGAAATCAGAGAAGAGCAGTCAATTCAACGATCTACAAAGTCTTCCTGCAGGAGGCAACATTTGCATCTGGCTTGTAAAATCATAGAATTTAGAAGGAAGAGAAGGGCAGAGCATGAATAGAAGAATGTGTGAGAAGAATTCACATGCCAGAAAGAATGAAAGGTGAAGGCTGGGGTTCTATATACCAGGCTGGGAGCTGGTGCCTTATGCAGCTGGCAACAGAGGGAGAGATGGAGGAAATGATATGCTGCAGCCTGCCTATTCTGGCTCGTGAGAGACACTGTGAGCATCTCTTCCCAACTCCACATTCAGTGATATCATGTTTGCAGTGACAGGGTATTTACACCACAGAAATTGGTAAATGCTACAATCAGGGCTTTCTGTCCCAGAGTTAGCTGTTAATCATTGACCAGCACATCACTCCATAGAAGGTATCATTGATCAATCCTGGAGCCCAGGTGCTAGTATTTTCTAAAGTTCCCCAAGTGATTCTGATGTGATGTGCATCAGGCTTGGAACCCTGTCCTGGTTGAAGGTAATTTACACATTATCTGTTCCAAGCCCCTTCCTGTTACAAATGGGGAAGCAGACTGTAGGAAAATTGCTCCCCCAGGTGGATGGATCATAAAAAGACGAATTCACACCCTATAGCCCGATCTCTCTCTTCTCATTAGAACAAGTGCTTCCCCTGTCCAGATGCAGGGTGCCCGTAGATGGGCCACTATGCTGATCAATTTGCCAGCAAGACAAGTGAGGAGCAGCAGAAATTCTTCCTGAACACAGGAGATTCCAGCAGTCTTGCCCGTAAGTTGCACTTTGACTTTCCCACCCAAGGAAACAAAGTTTAGTTTCTGTCATAAATGAAGGGCTTTTCTCTAACCTGAAATATTTATGGGCACATTCTGATTATCTTAGAAAAAGGACACATCCACCCAAACTACCCCATTTAAGACTCAACTGAGGATTTAGAAAGAGTCTGCATTTCTTCCATTTTATTTCTATGGCGTGAAATGAGTGAAAGCAAACAGTAGAACTAATGGAATAATAGCAATTTACACATTTCTATGGCCATCTTCCCTGAATTTTTACCACTCCGCAGTTCATTGTTCTTTTCATTTTTGAGACTGTGTCACATGCACCTGCTCTTCTATTCATTCAGCAAACATTTATTTAGTACCAGCTCTTTGCTGGGGCAGGCCCCTTAAGAAGTCCAGCTCCAATCTCTCCACTTCCCCCACATTGTCCATGTGAACCTGATGCCCAGGCGCTGCCTCTTGCGTGGGTGGGAATCAGGAAGGGGTGATTTCTCTCAAAAATCTGCTGAAAGGCTGGGACATTGGGTAAAGACAGGGCATGTTTGGGCCACTTTGTGCCAACGTGCCCTAAGAGAGCCCCAAAAGATGACAAAATAAAAAAAAAAGACTATGTTTATATAAACACATAAATATAATACATGTCTTACACAGTTTTTTAAGTTAAATTTATTCAGGTATAATTTATATAGAGCAAAATTCACTCTTTTAGTGCATAGTTCTATGAGTTTTGATAAATGAACAGTCATGGAACCATCTCCACACTCAAGATATAGAACATTTCCATCACTATGTACATTTTTTTTAAAAAGACATTGATTAATCAATCCTTCCACTGATGTAGAGACACATGAAATAGTTGCCCATATTTTAACAACAACAAATTAAAATTCAAAAACCATATTTTCATTCCTCAACCAACATTTATTTATGGGCCAGAGACTAGCTAGACACTGGGGATAAAGGGATGAACAAGACACTCTGCACATGAAATTTATAATCCGGCAGAGAACATGGAAACTGAGCCAGTAGCTCTGAGTGTGCTGGGCTTGGCAGGTTGTTGCTGTGGCATTGTGGGCCAGAGGGCCTGGCCCTGACCAGAAGGAAGGACAAGGGCAACATCTCTGAGGATGTGAAGGATGAGTAGGAGTTAGGCAAAGGATATGTGTGTGTGTTTATGTACGTATTTGTGTACGTGTGTGGGTGTGTGTATGTATGAACGCATGTGCCTGTGCATAGGTGTATGTGTGTGTGTGAGTGTCTATGTGTATGTGAGTGTGTGGTTATATGTGTATAGGCTTGCACATACGTGTGTGTGCTCATGGGCACTGAGACATCACTCCAGGCATAAATCTGGGTGACAGCTAAGCCCTGCTCTGTGCTAGAGACAGCCCAGGGCCCCAGGGATGCAGAGACAAGACACAGACCCTCCCCTCAAGGTGGTCTCAGTACTGCACTCCTGAGCTACAAATGTGGGGACAAGCCCTTGTTCCTTCTCTTTTTATCTTACCTCATCATACTGTCATTCTAGAGCAAAGCTGTCCAACAGAACTTTCTGCAATGATGGGAATGTTCTGTGTTGTCCAGTGCAGTAGCCATTAGCCACATGTGGCGATTTAGTGCTTGAAATGTGGTTAGTGAAACTGAGGAATTAATTTTTAACTTTATTTAATTTGGATTTAAATTTAAGCAGCCACGTGCGGCTAGTGGCCCCTTTACTGGGCAGTGCAGGTCTAGAGGGGACTCTGCTGGAAACATGTTTCTCCTTATGGCCTAGTTTGAGTCGTAGATTAACATGTAGAATTCCTTATACTTTGATGCCCCCGTGTAAGCGACAGGGACAGGAATCTGAGATTTGGGTCAACTATTTCGTGCATGAATGTAGAGAACTCTTTTCTATCCCCTGTGCAGGCTGGAGATACGGGATTTCTGTAACACTGTCTGGGAGAACAGCCACCGGTCAGGTCCAAGTTGCTTTGTTCGGAAATAAGGGAAACACTCACCAATATATCTTCAGGTAAATTTCCTTTTTTTGCACCACATCTCGATGATATACACAGCCTTCAAATCCATGCACTAAAATGCCCTTTATCAATGGATTTTAAATTATTTACTTTATGTACTGAAGTTAATTTCGGACTTCTGCCAACAATTTTTCTTTTCTCTATTATAAATCCAGGCATTTAGTTCTTTCTCTCTCAATAGATCAGATTTTCAGAAAATAAATCCAATATTACCCCACGTATCATATTTTCTGATTGGCATAGTAACACATGCTTGTTATGTTAAACAAAGGGGATAACTTGATACTGTGCAATAAATCTTCCAGGAAAAAAAAATGATAAGGAATTATATAGTTTTCTATAAGAAAGGTTTGAGGAGAAATTAACTCGAGTTTGAAGAAACAATATCTGAATAATAGGTTGAGCTTGCCATATAGCTGCCTTTTCCACTTCTTCATACTTGATTTCAGAATTAATTTGGAAAAATAGTCTCGTTAATCTAGAGTAGAAAAGAGGGGCATGGCCTTATATGGTCATTAGAACTTGTTTCTATGAATGGGAATGTTTCTATTTCTGTATGTCAAGGGGGATTATCCAACCAGGCTCCACTCATTCCAATGAGTTTGATGCAGAGTTGGGTGTTGGAACAATTGAGAAAGTCAAGTTTCTTTGGAATAACAACATGGTGAACCCAACCCTCCCCCGAGTGGGTGCAGCCAAGATCACGGTGCAGAAGGGAGAGGAGAGGACAGTGTATGTATCTTTGCTGGCTTGTGCCTAAGGACGTTTGCAGAGATTCGTGATTGTAATGGAGACTCACCCCAGAAAGTCAGTTATGGTTCAGCCAGAAAAGATAAGAAAATCTACCCATCTGGGGCCCTTTATGCTCAGGCAAACAAAACGGAGAGCATAAAAACATTTCTAGAGGGTGTTCTCAGCATCATCTAGGGGGTACAGAAGATACGACCCTGCCTTCAAGGAAAACTAGGGAGGGAAAATAAGAAAGAGAAACAAGAAATAATTTCTGAAGGGTATTAGGTTATAAGTATGTGCTAGAGAGTGGCTACATTTTACAAAGGGGAAGATCAGAGAACTCTCAGGATAATAGAAGAAAAAGTTTTAGCAAAAGATCTAAAATTTGAGATAGGACAGGAGAGAGCTAAGGTAGCAATACTGTGGAATCTTCATCCTGACCCATGATGTCCTTGCTGTGGCAGCTGGAGGGAAGTGGGGGTAGTGACCTGACAGGGGCAGAGCAACCATCCCCCAAAGCTCAGACCCCAAGTCTGGCCAAAAGGACACTCCTGGTATGGCTTTGTGGAAGGAGACCCTGGGCTCTCAGTCACTGACGGTCTTGAGGTTTGGGAGGTTAGGTGGGGTCGCTAAACTCAGGCCCCAGGAAATGTTACCTCCCCAGGCAGGGAGGGTTGGTTGGTAGACTTTGCAGCCACATCTCATCAGACCGGATGACCCTTGTGAGTCCTCGCTATCCCTGTGAGTCAGGGAGGACAGAGGGGCTGGCCCAGCCAGGTGGCCAGAGGAACAAGAAGGTCCTCTCAGCTGGAGCACAGCACCGCGGAGGCTGGTGAGGAGCCCCGTACAGGCTGGAGGTACAGCCAAGGCCTCCCCTGCCTGCCCCTATCAGAGGACACTGGGCCTCTAAAGTCATTTCCCCAGGGCCTCGTGAGGAAGTGGACCCATGGCCAGGATCCTGGGACTGTGTGGTTAAAATCGTGTCAGAAGAAGGTGGTATCATTGGAATCTTAAAAACACAAGGTGTTCCTGGGAGATGACTTGCTCACAGGTGGATTTGAAGAAGGAAAACAAATACAAGACCTAATCAGCCAGGGCATTGCACCTTCTAGTTTTTCTGAGGAAAGGCCGCGGCTCTATTCTCTTTCTAGAAACGGAACAGAATGTACTTGAGCACCCCCTCCCACCCACACAGGCCCTGAGTCCATCAGCTGCCATCTGAACCGTCCAGTGGCCTGAGTGCAGCTTCCCTTGCCTCTTGACCCAGAGGAAATCTATCTTAAGAAAAGTGAGATGTTAGCCATCAGATTTTTGAAATACAGGAAGAACAAAACCAGCATCAAACCTCACAAACTAGTTTAGGGATTAAAAAAGCTGAATTCCTCAAACTAGTGAAATATTTTGCTGTTGGGAAAAGCCAGTAAGTAACACTTTAACAAATAATAATAATTATTAGGAGGCTAAAGAAAATCAAGATTTTGGTCCAACCTCTTCTCAGATCTCGTTAGATTATTTTAGTCACCTTATTGGGGTTTCAAGTCCTACTAAGGAACCTGCTGACTAGAATTCCCTCCAATGACATGCTATCAAAAGAGAAATGTAGCTCAGCCTTTATTTCTCCTCCCTCCCCAACCTTCTTCCTTCCTTCCTCTCTGACTTCATTAAGTACCTATTGTATGCCTGGCAAAGAGTTGGGGATGCAAGGACACTCGACTCTCAAGGAGTTTACAATTTAGCTGTGGAAAAAGATTTGACTTATGGTTCACATGAAAGGTCAAATGACAGAAAAAAGAACTCAGCCTGGGGGGCCCAAAGAGAGTGGCCAGGGCAGAGGAGGAAGGCGAGCCAGGAGAGGTGGTGATGGAGGGGAGAGGCCACAAGGCATCTCTCAGGATGAGGGATTTCTACTGGGAAGGGCTGAGCAGGGGCAACGGACGTGGTGTGTGAGGGGCAGGGGGAGGCCAGGCCGCTGACAGCAGGGCTCAAGGTGCAAAGAGCCAGGAATATGACTGGAGATAGGGTTGGGGCTTCAAGGAAAGACACATGAAATACAAAAGAGAAAGTGGTGAAGATGAGAAAGGAAACAGGGCAAAGCTTCAGGGCTCAAAGGTGGTGAGGCCCCAGAAGCCTGTGGTTCTTGGAAGAACCATAATGATAACCACTTACATCTGCACCGTTTTTTTATTAATTATAAAGGTTTTTAACATTTATTATCATGGGATACTGCATTATTCACATGGGCTTCTCAGCAATCATGGGTGGGAGCCGTGCCCTCTCCTACAAACGAAGATACCAATGCTGAGACTCAAGTAACCAGCTCATACCACTGCTGGAAGGCAGGGAGGGGGAGCCCAAGGGGAAAGCCAGATCTCCTGACTCCAGGTCTGGAAGGCAAGGTCAAGGAAGCTTTGAAGTGCGACCCCACCAGAGAAAATGTGGACCATGACATCAGATAGACCTGTATTTGCATTTTGGTTCTTCCACTGAGGCTCTCTGGGCCTCAGTTTCCTCTCCTGTACTGTAGGACTCATAATAATGCCTCCTCTCACATGTGTTGTGAGGATGAAGTTCGCACGAGTCAATCAGCATCATTGCCAGCAGCTAGTAAGACCTCAATATATGGTAGCTACTGGAATGTTCCGTCAGGTCCCCAGAGTGGCTGAGCCAAGCGTGAGTGAGCCCTTCTGTAAACCAATCCACTGTGTTTACGGACAGCCCGCATGCACTTGTGGGAAAGGAGGGCAGTGAGAGTTCCAGGCACTGCCTCGAGGGGCACACAGTCCTGTCAGCTGCAGGACCCAGAGGCCAGGGGCCACTTCCGAGCAGTAGCCTACCTGTCCTAGGGCCCGGCCTCTTGTCACACTGGAAGCCTGAGGCCATCAGTTCTCCAGTAACTGAAGCCTCAACCCTAGTGCTTCCCTCTTTCCTTTTGAATTCCTTAGCAATGACCTTTGCTTAACAATTCAAACGGCCATTTAAGGATGCCCAACACTCAAAAAGCCTTCGTTTTTATCCACAGGTACAGCTTCTGTAGCGAAGATACAGTGGGAGAAGACGTTCTGCTCACGCTCATGCCCTGCCAAGCTCCAGGCACAATGTAGTCGCTGTGTTAACATCAACAAAATCCACTGCTGCATCTGTCTCCTCACAGTGTCTGTGCTGTCAGCTGCCCCCTGTGGGGACTTTTGGGAATTGAACATTTAAAAATCTCCCAAGCATTTCCATATATTTGGGTTTCCTGCCCTTGACTTCCCACCCCACACCCCTTTTTTCCCAACTTCCTTGGCCCTCATGCCCACTGTCTTCTCCCCAGCTGAGGGAGTGGGGGTTCAAGGGGCCTCAGCAGAGCCTTTAGCCCCACCGCTAATCCTACAGGTGAGGAAACTGAGGCCCAGAGGGGGCAGATAGCTGTTCAAGCACAGAGTGAGTCAGTGTCTCTTCAGGACTGAGGGTCGGGCCCCTGACTCTGGGTCCAGACTCCTCCCTGACTCTGCCGTCACCTTGAGGGATCACGGAAAAGCCATGCTATGATGTGGCCTCTTTGTGGTGGTAGATTTTGTGGTGATGGGACCACCGGGTGGCCCTAGGTCTCAGTGAGGTGTAAGGTGCTCCAGCATCCAGAGACCGTGGTGGGCACATTTGCAGAGCGCAGGCAGGCTTCTAGCCCCCACTGGCTCTGGGCTGGGGCTGCCTCAGAGCCCTTTCTCTGCCTGCTGGCAGGCGCCATCCTAAAGCAAGTGCCAGGCACTGAGAAAGGGTCAAAAGGATGGCTTCTGAGAGGAACATCCAATGCAGGCCCCTGCTGAAGGGGACCTTTCTGTCCTCCCATCCACTGCTGCCGCCGGGAAGCCCTCAGCCAATCAGACCTCACCATGGGCCCCACCTACACACATTTTCTTTACCTGGGAGGAGAGAGTGTTCTTCAAGATGGCCGACACTGTCCCATGATCATCCCCCAGGGAACGTGTAGGACCAGGAAGATCACTGCCTCCCCTGAGTGTCTCCCCTCTTGGTCACCAGGCCTCACACCCCACCATGGCAGTTTCAGTGCCATGGCTTCTGTTTCTAACCATTGGTAGCACGTCAAGCTATTATTGAGTTTCAAACTTGAGTGTGAGTGGACTCCAGATTGTTCCTTGAAAGCAGATGTTATGGTGAGGATTAAGGAGTGACTGTAGTAAGGGCCTCACCGTGGAGGGCACAGGATGAGCACTCAATAAACAGTGGTAATGACGAGGACAGGGGGGCACCGAGCAGGAGAAAACAGGGCCCAGGGCTGAGGCCTCTTTGTCACAGTTTTGCCCAGCATGAACCCACACCCTGGGCAAGACAGCACCATGGCAGAAGAGCTCAATCAACGGAATGTAGATTCTGCAAACACTGCCAAACACCAGCTCCGTGCCAGGCCCTGCAGTGGGAGGAAAGCAGAACACTTCAAGTCAGTCTTCGAGGAGAGCACAGTAGTAGAGAGCCCCACAATTAAATACACTCTGCAATGCTGCCAGATAGGTGCAGAAAGCAAGGTGTATCCCAGGACAGGGCAGCCCAGGAGAGGGAAGAGCAAGATGGGGATGGCTCCACAGAGGCGTTGGTTCTAGGCCCAGGCTTACAGAAAAACAACCTACCCAGACTGCAGACTGGGAGGCCAGCTAGGAGGAGGAGGCCCCGCAGCTATCCAGGCAAGAGGTGAGAGGATCATACAAGGGCAGTGAGTGGAACCAAGGTGTAATGGAGGGGACAGGACTGTGTGGCCATGGGTGACAGCCCTTCTCCTTGGTCAAGGACAGTCTGTCTCACACGCTCCCCAGACGAACAGACACGGCTGATGATGTGGAGAGAATGTTTTTAAAACAGGGAGGAAACCGAGAAGAGCGTGCACCCAGGGAGGGAGGAAGTCACTTGGGGAGGCTTCCCAAGGCTGTTGGTTGCACCATAAGCCCTCAGCCGAGGCACAGCCCTGAGCCTCAGGGTGACCTGGGGTGACCAGGTCTTGACCGCAGGTGCAGTGGTGGCCATATGCTCCAGGGCCAGGGGAGGCAGCCAGTGGAGACCCAAGCTGGAGCAGGGCCAGGCCCCGGTTCTCTCCTCCTGCACTCCTTTCCTCAAATGTATGTCGTTTTATCGCATAATGCGGCTGGAGAACACGCCCAGGAACCCAGAGAACAGCAGGTTCCAAGAACACCGCCATCGGCCTTGGCTGCTAATCAGTGTGGCTGTTGAGCATGCAGTTCCGGACACCAGGGGGAGACGAAGCTCAGCCCCATAGATCCACCACCCAACCACACCATCCTGGGGAGATGGGGAGTGAGGGGCTCTCTGAGGTGACGCTGGGGTACACTTGTAATGTGTATGTGGCCCTGGCCCAATCTGGTCAAATTTCCAGATTTCAGGGGCTACATGGGGCCAGTTTGATTGGGCTATGTTTTTTGAATAACAAAGGTGGTGTATTGTTCAGAGTGCACATAGCTACAGTCTTTGGAGCAATGAAAATACACCATATTCCACATTCAGTTTATTGACATAAAGCTCAGAGGGACATTCCATCTGGTTGGAAGCAATAGAAAAAGGCACTGAGTTAGCAGTCAGAATTCTAGTCAAGCCAGGTGACCTTGGGCAAGGGGTTTCCACCTCTCTGGGCCTCAGCTTTCCCATCTGTAAAATGGAGGCAACAGCCCAGCCCTGCCTTCCTGGTATTGTTGTCTTAAGGCTCTAACAAGAGAATCAACAGCGCGATGGGAATGGAAGATTCTATCCTTAAGTCAGTGTGCCATAAGATGTGGAAGGCACCCTAAGGAGTGTGGCCACAGTATGGCCCCAGACCCAAAGCTATCAGAAGGCGGAGCATTGGGCGCCTGGACCTGCAGCAGTGCCCATTAAGGTTGGCTTCATGCTCACCCAACCCAGACCCTGTACACTCACCTCAAAGTGCATGAGGCTGGCCCTGCCCCCAGGGCATCCAGGGCTCAAGGGACCAGCTAAGGCACTCTCAAAGAGTGCCAGGTGTGCTCCATCCTGACTGCAAACCAGAATCACCTGAGAGCTTAAAAAAAAAAAAAAAAAATGGAAATCCCAGGTCCCACCCTGACCAATTCAATAACAAGCCCTCAGGTGATTCTCTCGTGCAGCTCGTGAAGCTCCGCCATGATACTCAAACAGGAGTCTGCGGCTCCCAGGCCTCCAGGGGCACTCTTCTCTGAGAATTTATTAATTTTGTGTTTTCATTTTAACGATAATCCATTTTTTTAACCAGTTGAAGAGACGAAGTTTTCTCTTGGTTGTGGTAACTTGCAGTAAGAATTTTGTTTCCTGAGTTGATGTGGAATAAAATGAGGTTAGTGGGACGGTAACAGAGGCTTGTGAGAATTTTTAGCAAGGATGATGACCATGTATTTACTCAGGTCTGAGAAACCTTGCAGAGTGTGATCTGGGACTGAAAATATGCAAGAGATGTCCAGTGGCACAGCTTTGAAAGAGCAGAGAGAATTCGTCCCAGAACCTGCAATGGAGGAGAAAACATGGCCGGGAAGAGCAGGGAGGGGTGGAGGGAGCAGGGAGGAAGAAGCCTCTTGGGGTGAGGACCTTGGGGGGATGGAGACACAGGTGATGGCCTTGGCAGGGGGAACCACAGGTGCAAAAGCTCAGAAAAGGGAAAAAGCAGGTTCATTTCAGATCTGTAAGTCCTTCTATCTAAGCAGTTATGGGGTGGGAAGGCACTGAGGCGGTGGCAGAAAGGAAGCTGGGCAGAGGCCACGTGGTGGCCTTGTTTGTTTGCTCTGGCTGCCATAACCAAGTACTGCAGACCAGGTGTCTTACACGTAGAAGTATCACTCTGATCTCTTCCTTCACATTCACATGGCATTCTCCCTGTGCACGTGTCTTTGTCCAAATTTCCCCTTTTTATAAGGTTCCAGTCTTATTGGATTAGGACCCACCCTAATGACCTCATTTTACCTCTGTAAAGACCCTATTTCCAAATAAGGTCATAATCTGAGGACCTAGGGGTTAGAATGCCAACATATCTTTTCAGGGGGACACAATTAAACCCTTAACATGGCCAACCTTGCATGCATGGCTTAGGAGTTTGGACTCCACCTAAATTCTGACCCCTCTCCACCCAATACCCCTAAGTCATTGTCTTTCGATAAAGCCCAAATTACATAGCCTGCATACAAGCCCTTCTCAATGGGCCTTTTTCCTCGTAGTGCTTTTGATCATTTGTAATTATGTATTTACGTGTAGGCCATCAGTGCCTGTGCCCCATGGGACCATCAGTGCCTGTGCCCTACGGGACCATCAGTGCCATGAGGGCAGGGAAAGAGGATGTTCTGTTCATTTCAAGGCTGGAAGAGCATTCAGGACGTTGCAGCCACATAAAAATGAGCGTAAATGAGTGAACAAACAGGTGGAACATGCACCTGAGGGCATTGAGGACCCACCCACAGGATTAAAGCTGGGAAGGCGCTCTGGGGGAGGCTGATGTGGAGGGGGGATGCAGTGGCCTAGAGAGAGGTGCTGCCAGCCGCTCAAGGGCAAGGGCAGGGGGAATGGAGGGGAGCAGACAGATAAAAGAGGTGTTGAAGGTGAGGAACAAACAGGTTTCAACAGGCCTCGGGGTGCAGGAGGCGGAGGACCCAAGCCACCCCCCTCCCCCGGGCAGCTGCTGTGCCAGCTGGCAGGGCTCCCCCAGGCCCTGACCTTGTCACCTGCTAACATGTGGCAGGTGAATGACTTTTCCCACGGTGCTGGCCTTCCCTTCCTTCCCAGGCAGACAGCTGGCAGAACCTCAGGTCTTCTTGGTGCCCCCAGAGAGGAGAGGGGAGCTGAGCTGGCCGTACCACAAGCAGACAAGTGGCAGGCAGCATGGAACTCTGCTGGCCTGCATTGGGCCACCTTGCCAAAGAGACCAGGCTCTGGACTGCAGCCAGTGAGTCTGCCCCCAACCACTGGTGACTGTAGCAGGGGTGCTGAACCCTCCTTGGAGGGCGGCTTGGTGCAGGGATAATGTTCCTAAATTGGCCAGGAGTCCACCCACTTTACAAGTCAGCGAACTGAGACCTACAGAAGGAGAGAGCACCACAGTAGGAGGTGGAGCCTTAAGACCAAGGCCTACTCTTCCATTCACCCTTAAAGCAAGCCTTTCAGAACCTCTGTTGTCTTGGCTATGAAATGGGACTTTACAAGGCACTCTATTTCTTGAGCATTTTATAGCTATAAGAGCTACAATTTGGTCACTGTCATTCTCTCAGGACACCTTTTGAACCAACACCACCTATTTGTTTCCCATACCCAACTCTCTCTCATGGCCCTCACTCCTGTGCTTGATATTGTATTCCCCAGATGTGTTCGTTCAGCTTTTTTCTCATTACCTTGGGCATTGTCACCTCTTGGGTGATTTCTTATCCTATTTAAAAGGGGGTGTGGGTGGTGTGCTCCTTTGGGGTGACTCTTGCTTGAATAGAAAGGTGGTGTTCTTTCTCTAGGCTGCAGTTTCCAAAATTTCTTGTAGGATCCCCGTTTTGAAAACAACCTTAGATGTAGACCACCTAAGTCAATCCTTACCTGATGCTTGACTTCCGTCCACCTCTACTCAAGTTGTGATGTCATCCAAATGAGGCTGGGGGCTCACTCCCCACCAGCAAAGCCCTATTCCATTTTCCAATGATTGTAACCTTTGGAAAATTTTCTCTTATATTGAGCTAATCTGCCTCAGTGAGTCCCTTGAGAACAGGGGTGACCATGACCTGCCCCTTGGCATTTGCAACAGAACCTCATGACCTGACAATAACTAGAATTGCTTCTTGCCTAAACAAACTATAACCTTCCCCCTACTTTCCAGCTCTGCCCTTTGGGGTAGCTGTTGACCAGATGAAATACTACTGGCAACTCAGGTGAGAAGGATTCCCTGATTCCTTGACTAATCTGTGGCTAGAACCAGGAAAGCATGGATGATGGGACTCACAGATTATCTGAAAGTGTCTTACTAAACCTTTGGCAAAAGCTACAATCAAGTAACAGAATGGGTTGGCTGCTATTAGTATGGGTGGCAAAACCAAAATCCAAAGAACTACACAATCCAAAACTGTCTCCTAAAATAAGGACAGAAATCCTCATTAGGAATACTGAGTTGGGAAAGGAAGGTGGCCAAGGCCTAGCTAATCCCCCCAGATGGACCACAGGCCTCTAAACCACTGCGACCATCCTCTTTCAGGGGGAGTCCAGTGGCCAGCCGTACCTGTCAGTGTCCCAGTGGCAAAGAGACGGCCCACTCAAAGGGCTGATCAAAGAGACTATTTACAGAGGTGTGGATAGGGTTCTGGGACTCACCAGGGGTAGTGAAGCACCCAGGGATTAGCAGCAGCTGGAAGCTCTGACTTCCTTGTGTCCAGAAGCACCAAGGGAGGGAGCCGTTATGAGAATCTGGAAAGAGCTGGGGCTATGGGAGAGAGCTGCGGCCCTCAGGAGAGAAATGCAGACATGGCCCAACCACAGCACAGAAGGGAGGGAGCCTGGGAAGAAATACTCCTGCCTATCCCTCTTCCTACTCCCTGATCTCCCGGAGGTGCCTCCCATTGGCTGAACCCAACCAGATGGCCAAGGGCAAGTAGCCCAGGGAGGCAGTCCATAGAGGCAGGCTCCAGGGCACAGAGCAGGGAGGAGAAGGCAGGAGAGCTGTGGACATTATCCGGCTCACAAACCCAATGAATCATTAGCTTCCAATGTCCCGTTCCTTCATCCAGCAAACGTTTATTGATCCTAGTATCGGCCAGGCACTGTGCTAAGCTTTAGTGACACAGAAGTAACTATACAGACCTCGACCCTGCCATCAAGGCAAGATCTAAACTAAACACTGAAATATAATTACCAATTGGGATACATTTTATGAAAGAAAAATTAAGAATGATGATAGATGTAAAGGAAGGTTGGCTCGGCTTTGGGCACTAAGGAAGGCTTCTTGGAGGATGCAATATTCAAGCAGAGCCCTGAGGGATAACTTTGACCTAGACAGGGAAAGAATGAGCATACATGTTTCAGGAAGAGGAAATAGAATACGCAAAGACCTGAGATGGGCATTTTCTAGAGACTACACACGGCCGGTGTGTCCGGAGTTCAGCGAGCGAGACTCTAGGGGAGGAAGTGGGGGAGGCAAGGTCCAGGTAACACTGCACCCTAACGGCCATGGTGAGGAATTTGGGTTTTCCCAAGAGCAGTGGGCAACCACTGGCCCCATATCATGGGTCTAGGGCTTCCATTCAGCCTAATATTGCCATTCCAGTCTCCTCAGTGGGGTCCTTCATGAGCCTTTGACCTGATCTCCTTCAGCTGCTGGACATCTCCCACGGCAACACTAGGCTTTGGGGTCATTGAGGCATAGGCAACCCCGCCCAGCTTCATCATCACTTTACCAGTTCCACAAACTTTGACTTTTCTTGAGCCCATTCAAGATAGGGAAGTTCATTCCTTGGCTTCCTTCCGCTGCATACTGCTCAGCTCCAGCCTCAGAGTTCTCAGAAGGGAGTTTCATCTAAAAAAAAAAAGAAGAAGAAGAAGACATTTTTCTATACTTGAAACTTCAGGAAATTGCTGGCAACCTCAGTGCTTCTGGGATTGGTCAAAAGGCAGGCGTGGAATGTGGAGCAACTGGAACTCTCACCAAATTGCCGCTGGGAGTAACTCAAGGGCAATCATTTTGGAAAAGTGTTTGGCAGCATCTCTTAAAGCTAAGCATGCACATACCCCAGGACCCAGCAATGCTACTCCTGGGTGTAAACCTGAGAGAAATGAGTGCATATGTTTACCAAAAAACTCGTATTAGACTAGAATGTTCCAGCAGCATCATCCATAATATTCCCAAACTAGAAAGAACCCACATGTCCACCAACGCAGAATGGATAAACCAACTGTGATATATTCGCACAGAAATATATAAATATAACACAGCAATAAAAAGGAACTAATTACTGACACGTGTAACAACATGGATGAATCTCAGAAATATGTTGTATGTATTAAGCAAGACACTAAGGAGCACATACTATATAATTCCATTTATATGCAGTTCTAGAACAGATCCAATTAACCTGGTGATAGGAATCAGAGCATTGTTATAGGGCAGGGGGAGGTGGTTGAAGGATTATGAGAGAAACTTCTGCTGCTGGAAATGTTTTATATCTTGATCTGGGGCATATACATAGGAGTATACATTTGTCAAAACTCATTAAAATGTACTAAGTTTAAACTCAAGATTTATGCACTTTGATGTATCAAAGTTACCCATCAATTTAAAGAATGGCAGGGTGGCATCTGGCTGTTCACCCAAGTGCTCCTCGTAGCTGTGAAGGAAGGAAAAGACCTCCATCTTATCTCCAGCTCCAAGTACAGTCGATGTGGCTCAGAAATGCCTTTAAAATAGACTGTATTTTTTCTAAACAAAGCTATATTCGAACAGTGTTCATTTTATTCTTTTGAGCTTCTCGCTTTAAAGGGTTACCTTTGTTTTTATTCTCTGTCTAGGTTCTTTGAAGGGCTCCTCTCTACCCACCCCACCCCGAAGTAAACAAGGCATGTGTCTTCATACCCAGGCACTTGCACTGCACGGCGAGTCTTTAGACTCCCATCCCTGCACAGCTCTGCCGGTGATGACAGGACAACAAGACAGGGTTTGGGGTTTGGGGTTTGGGGTTTGGGGTTTGTGTTTCCGATGGGATTTTGAACAGGAGGCAGCACAGCTTGGTGTTTCTCTGTTATCACCCAGGGAACACAATCTTTTGGCAACCAAACCTGTAGATTCAGATTAACAGAGCCCTTTCCCATCCCCAAAGTCGGTTTCCTTTCCTCGAATCTCACTTTATAAACAGTGTTGCTCCCCGGCTGAGTGGGCCGTATGTGTTTATGATAACATAGGTTGAAAGCACGCCCGTGCAGAGCCCTGTCTAGCCTTCCCGTCCTCCCTCTAAGGAGTCCAGAGGATAAAGCCGGGTTATAAAAGGCTGGGGCCAACCCGCTGGGCTGCAAGTGGAAGCTCGGGTGCTGCACAGTAAGTCACCCCCACGGGGGCAGGGAGCTTGGCAGGGCTGGGGCTGCCAGAGGGATGTGGCCTGGAAGGGGGGAACCACTGCAGTGGGAAGACCCTGAGTCCGGGTCCGAGAGTGGTGCTGCCCAACTCCCTGTGTGCGGGGAGGCCTCAGCCTCAGGGTCCCACCTCGAGGGATAGCCCCGTGCGGCCCAGGTGTCGGGCTTCTGTTTCACTCACTGTCCCGTGTGCTCCGGAGCTCCTGCCCTGGTGGGTTCTGCTACTGCCAGCCTCATACCCGTGCCGGTGGTATCTGTGCATGTCTGTGTTTTCATCCGCATAGATGCTGCCCTCTTGGACCATCGGCCTTCTCCTGCTGGCCACAGTCAGAGGTGAGGATGCTGTCATTATCCCTTTGGGGAGAAAGTGACTATGCCTGGGCTGGCCTTTGGGTGAGGCAACTAGAGGCATCATCATCATCATCATCATCATCATCATTAATAGCATTATCATTATTTCAAGAAAAACAACAATCGCCACCATTCGGGGAGCATTGACTCTGTGGCAAACACAGGGCAACGTGCTTGACAGGGATGATCCCGGGTAATCCTCGTGCTCTGTCCCATTCCTCCTGCGAAGGCTCTAGTGGCTGTGAGGTGGGGAGAGGGGGCAGAGGTGGAAGGCATCTGGGGCAGGTAGAGAGCAGGATGTTCTTGTCAGGCCCCCACACCCTCAGTCCCTTGAGCGGACAAGTGCATGTCTGCAGACTAAAGCCCCACGGATGTGATGCGCCTGAGAACTCCTGTCCTGCCAGGTCTGCCAGAGCCCTCCTGCCCACGGCCCCCCTTTCACTCCTCTCACAGTTACTGTCTCCATCTCTCCAGCTCCAATCTGACCCTCTCCTCTGGCTTCTGTCCAGAAGGGATACAGACACAGATATCCAAGGTCTACTTGTCCTCAAACAGAAATCACCTCTCTTGCCACCAAAGCCCCCTTGAGCTCCCAGCCTGCTTACTTCCCATCCCCCACCTCGTCACAGGTAGACCTCACAGATGCACTCGGGAGTCTCTTTCCCTCCCTGCCTCACCTCCTCCCATCACTCAGAATCCCTCACTGCCTGGCTTGGCCCCCCCTAAACCCTGCTGGGGCTTTCTTCTGCATCGCGACTCCTCCGTCCTGAGTCCTAGCCTTGTCCCCAGTCCACTTCTGCATTCCCTTCCATCTTGGCCATGCAGCAAGACCCAGATCCTGACAGCAGAGCCTGGGTGGGTCTGGCTGCTCCTCCAGGCCTTTCTGATCCCCCTGGTCTCCTGTGCTGATCTGCTGCCTCCTCCTGCCCCAGACTTGGGCACTCCCAAAGGTCACTCCCAGGCACTCTCCTCATCTTTCTCTTCCTCAGGGCTTCCGCTTTGCCCAGCCTCTGGTCACCCCCTATCCCCCTCCAAGTTCCAGGCAGCTCCAGCAGGCCCTCCCATCGCACCTCAAATTCACTTGTCCCAAACCAGGCTGGAATATCACCCCCTTAATTTCCACTGTCATCTGAAGTTAGAATGCCCTTTACCTCTTCAGTCCCACTGCCCTGCACTGCCCCACCCCCCGCTGGCCTCTCCCAGGCTCTCCTGCCTCTGAGCCACCTACACTCGCTCCCTGAAACACCTTCATGAAGCACAGCCCCCAGCCCACCCTCCAACACTTCCCTGCCATCCACCACCAGCCCAGGTGTCTCAATCTGGCCTTCGAGCCCCTGCGTTAACCCCTGAAGCAAGCCTTGCTTTTTCCTCCTACAGCCCTTCCTCCAGGACTCTTCCTGCTTCCCAGAATGCATTCTCCATTAGATTTCCTCTCTTTCAGGGCAGGGTTTGTACCTGATTTGTCTTTTTGCCTCCTCACTGCCGAGCTTTATTCCCAATTAAACTTCTCAGGTTCCAATCCTGGCTCTACCATGGCTGTGACCTTGGGCAGCATACTTTGTCTATGCCTTGGTTTCCTTATCTGTGAAACAGGGGTAATGCTAATCCCTTACTTATGGGGCTGTTTTGAGGCTTAAATGGGACTACACTGGTAAAGCACTAGTGTGGTATTTAGCACGTACTAAACAACAAATATTAACTACTACCAGTTTTTGAATGAATGACCAATATTTGGCACCATCAGTTTAGGAGTTGAGGAAGTCTAAGAGAGAAGACCGATTGTAATCCTCTGGATTTGACTTTGTCACCCTCAGTGACCCTCTCCTGTGAAAACGTGGACCAGAGAAAGGACCCTCAGATTGACACGTGGTTATTTGGGTCATCAGTTGCATGTCTTGAGCCCCTACTACATGCAGTATGATGCAAAAATAAATCATCCCTGTTCTTAAGAAATTTACCTTTTCGAAGAACAACAGGGAAAATCTGAAATGGTAGAGAATAATTTGGGAGAAAAATGCACATAAAAGGATGACATGAAGACATGCAAATTGGACAAATACCCACGAATGCCTCCTATGTGCATGGCCTGTGCTTGACGTACTGGAGATGTCAGCGCGAACGAAGAAGCATCTGTGCTACAGAATCCTTAGACACTTGATAAATACTTGATGCTTGATGAATATATGTAAAGGGGCCAGGAGGTAGTTTTAAAGCAGAAGGTTCCCAGGAATTCCTAGCGATTCCCCACTTGGCCTGATGATAAGAGTACTTATTAAACACCAGACCCTCTGAATCAGAATCTCTGAGGGCGGGGCCTGGGAATGTGTATGTGCAAGACACACATTCACTCCCAGCCCCCAGGTGACTCTTAGCACCATAGAAGTTTGGGGAACACTTACTGGCAAAGACCAAGACCACCATTGGCCTTAGCCAGCCCTGGGCTGACCCTGAAGAGTCCTCCTGCCGCTGAGATGACACTGCTCCTTTCAGAATCTCGTAAGTGTCCTGTCTATTGCTCTTCCTGCCCCAGGAAAGGAGACCTGCTATCCACCTCTTGGCTGCTTTTCTGATGAAAAACCGTGGGCAGGGATCCTTCAGCGGCCTTTGAAGTTACTTCCCTGGGCCCCCAAGGACATTGACACCGGCTTTCTTCTGTACACAAATGAGAATCCGAACAACTACCAAGTAAGAGTGGGCATGGAGACTGCATGGCGGTGGATTTGGGTGCCCATACTGGGGCCTTCACACGGTTGCCTAAGGAAAAATTCACTGCCTTGGAACTTTCCAGGTGATGCTCCTTCACCAATGTTAGACCTCGAGCCATCTTAGTTCTCAGGCTCATAAACTCCTATTTGTATCTGATATAATCTATGGCACCCAACCCAGAAACTTACACATTCACACACACACGTGCACAGAACTTCAGGGGCTTCCCAGCACGGGAACCCTGCTCCTGGGAGAAAGGGGCTTTGAGCAGCTTTTATGGAGAAGCCCAGGCCTAGAGTAACCCCAGGAGGGTCTGTCTTTTTCCTGCACTGAGCAGTGGAGGGAGAGAAGCCCTTCAGGGGGTAAGGGTGGCGGGATGTAAATCCTTCCTGAGGAGCTAGAAGATAGGTGGGGAGAAGGGACATTTAACCACAAGAAAGAAAAGGTGAAGAGCCTGGGAGCATCATTCAGGTCCCAGAAGGCCTGCCAGGCAGAAGCAGGATGGGCTGACTCCAAGTGCTTAGAAGTGACCAGAAGAACTTGCTCAGAATTCAAGCAGCTCGCAGCTCTGGTCCCTGGCAGAGTTTAGAGAGCCAGGTATCTGTCTATTGGTCCCTGAGGTCACCTACTGCGGGATTCTAGCTGACAAATTCCCCACTCAGAGCCCCCGGTGGGAGTCTGCTTGGATGTGGTTGTTGTGCTGTTTTTATTTTGTGATCCTTTTTAGGCATTGTGCCCATGGGGGGTGCTTGTGGAGGGGGTCCTGAATAGGCCCGTGGGCACGTAGGGGTCTGTCCTTAAGTCTCACGAGTTGGAGATGCCCTCACAACTCTACTGAGCTGCATCTCCCTCACGCCTCATGCTTCTGATACCTCTGCTAAGGATGATGTTTTTAAATGCATAAAATAAAATACACTGGATTATAAGGAAACCAATTATAGCAAAAAACAGTTACAGAACATTAAAAAAGATAAATATGTGATATAGTAATATATGTGCTGCTTTATTGTCTCACTAAATAACAAGGTCTATGGGTTGGTCTAATAATTACTGTAATTTAAAATAGTAATGAGTATAAATGACTTTTAAAATATCTGCAACAACTGACATGAACATATCTGTGACTTGAACATATCTGTGACTTCTACTGGTGACAGAGTGTTGCTAAGACTACTGTGGCTTGTTGCCTAATTTCATAATTAACAGAAATGCCATATTTCAGTTAGGGGTTAATGAAAATAGAAAGTCCATGAACTTGGACTTCCTGAATTCTATCCTCAAACCCCCAATCAGGAACTCCTGTTCTAGCCCGAACCAGTTTTACAGGATTTAAACCTGTGACCTCAGTCTTACTGGAACTGGCTCTAACAGGTCTGCGGTTTGGAAAGGCCAACATTCAAATCCATCTTTTCCAATTACACCAGCTGATCACTGCCACCGACCTAGCCACCATCGAGGCTTCAAATTTCCAGTTGGGCCGCAAGACACGCTTCATCATCCACGGCTTCATAGACAAGGGGGAGGACAGCTGGCCGTCAGACATGTGCAAGGTAGGGGTCCACCCTCCTCGCCTGGCCACTCCCTGGTGAGACCAACACCCAGCACACAGATTCGAACACTGCAGCCCCAATGCCCCTGAGACTGAGAAAGAAAATACTTCAGGGAGAGATGGGTCCTTCCTTAAACCACCAAGGAAAACCTGGGTTCTCAGGGGCAACCATTGTCAAGCTCTCCCAACCCACCAACTTTTAGCCAACCACCTCCTCTTGAGGCTGAAGAGACCCAGAGTCCAATCAGAAAGTCCCAGACGTGGAAACTACAGCAAATTTCCTGGCATTTGTCTCTGTTGGTTTACATCAAACCCTGCGTAACATAAAAACACTTAAATTTTACTGTCTAAGCACAGTTATCAAATAGAACTTTCTGTAATGACGGAAATGTTCTATATCTGTGCTGTCTACATCAGGAGCCACTAGCCACCTGTGTTTATTGAGCACTTGAAATGTGGCTAGTGTAACCAAAAAACTGAATTTTAAATTTTATTTCATTTTGATTAATTTTAAATAGCCACATTTGGCTAGTAGCTACAGTATTGGATAGTGTGGCTCTAAAGTTATCATGAATATTAGTAGTGAATTATTATTTGTAACATCCGTTTCTCGAGCACTTATTATGAGCCTGACACTGTGCTAATCACTTCAAGTCCTTGTCCCATTTGACCCTCCCAGCAATGCTGTAAGGAAGATATAGATATTGTTCCCATTTTACAGATGAGGAAATGAAGGCACAAAGAAGTTCAATACTTGCCCAAAGTCAAATCCAGAGGTGGAATGCAAAACCAGGTCTTCTGTCCATAAGACACCATAATCCTGTGTGTCTACAGATTTACCCTGTAGGAGATACCTACTCTTAGGGGCTTAGTCTCCTGCAATAGACCTCCAGCAGCTTCTGCCTAAGGGTTCTCTGATCCTCTTGGTGTTGGGGTGTTTACACATGCCCCCTGAGTGCCAGAAGGAGGCTGTGTGAACTTAGATATGAGAGAATTGGGGGTATGCTGTCCACCATGATGCCCTGGCCTCCACCCAACTGCTTCCCATCTCAAATCAAGGTGCAGTCTAGGGCATCCCAAAACGAACAAAGGATATGGAGTGGCCTTTTCTGACGTTTATTTTTCCCCCTCAGGGGACCAGTATCTGTGCTTGGGCAGTTGACTGTGGTCATACCACATGATATAAAAGATGCATGTATTCAGGAGAGTTGTAGTCTACCTCAATCTAAATTTTATCTTATTAAACTTGTCCCTCAATACCTTATATCTCCCACGGAAGCATTGTTCAGAACATAAATGCAGCACCCCTGTGGCTTCAGCTATCTATTGCAAGGGCTGCCAAACTTTTCCTGTAGAGGACCAGGTAGCAAATATTTTAGCATTTGTGGGCCATGGTTTCAACTCAACTCTCTTGTAGCTCAGAAGCAAAGATAGACAATATATAAACAAATGGGTGTGGCTGTGTTTCAATAAAACTTGATTTATAAAAGCAGGTAGATTTGACCCTCAGGTAATACTTTGCTAATCCCTGATCTAGTAAGTGACCTTTCAGACCTGGTGGTGTCAATAACCTTCTGTAGGATCTTAGACAAGTCACTTACTCCATTCCAGACCTCAGTTTCCACATCTGTTAAGTGAGGATAAGTAGACCCAGTTCATAGTGATGCGGTGAGGATCAAGACAAGTGTGAAGAATATTAAAGCTCTGACACAAACTGGATGCTTGATGGATGTGAATTCCTATCTCTGGAGTGTGCAACCTTTGGCTGTTAATAAAGTGGTTTCTCCCCTTGTTTGTCTTCCCCAGAAAATTCTGAAAGTGGAGGAGGTGAACTGCATCAGTGTGGATTGGAGACGTGGGGCCTGGACAGAATATACTCAAGCCGTCCACAACATCCGGCTGGTGGGAGCGGAGATCGCTTTCTTCATTCAAGAGCTGTCGGTAAAACCCTGCCTGGGCCATGTCCTGTGGGTAGGGGCCAGACACAGAGGCAGGCAAGCACCACGGTTGCACCCAGAGGCAGCCTGGAGACCCGTGGGCAGGGGCAGGGCCTGGAAGCCCAAGAAGGGCCTTTCCCAGATGAAGCTGCACCCTTCCTCCCTCTGCATTGTCCTGAAGATCCCCAGTTGTGGGGCCTGGGGCAAACTAACGTCTTTGAGCCTCACTTTCCCCTTTTGAAATAAGCCTCCCTTGCAGGCTGTTGTGGGACTTCTAGAGCAGGCTGGGCTGCTGAGCAGTTCTCAGCCCGTGAGGCAAGGCCCCTTACAGCCTTCTGGAAGGTCTATTCTGGAGCGCCCCAGAGTGGAGCCCCACTACCCACGCTCTCCCCAGACAGGCCCAACCCCTGCCAGGGATGAGAGGAGGGGGCCCCGCGGTGGGGTGTGGGTGGGAGGAGGCAGCGGACGTCCAGTCCCGGCCAAAGCGGCCTGCAGTTGACGCGCTGGCCGCTGGTCAGCACTGTTGCCCCGCGCACCAGCCCGTCCGCAGGGCTCCAAGGCCGGGTCGCGCTGTCCTGGGCGGCGTCCTGGAGCCGAGTCCCGCCCGCATCCCCGCTCCCAGAGCCGGCGCGTCCCCACCCGGTCCTGTGGGACCTGACGCGTCATCCCTCCGCAGACCCAGCTGGGCTACGACCCCGAGGACGTGCACCTCATCGGCCATAGCCTGGGCGCGCACGCGGCGGGGGAGGCCGGCCGGAGGCTGGGGGGCCGCGTGGGCAGGATCACAGGTAGGGGCGCGGGGCCCAGCCCGGGGTGCGCGCGCTGGAGGCCGCGCCTGGGCAGTTCCTACGGCCAAGGGCGCCCCTACTGGTCCTCCGGGCACTGATTTTAGGTGATGCCCGGACTTAAATTAAAAAATAATGGTGCATATATTTTCATATGTATTAGAAAGTAATATGATTGTGAATAAAAATGCATTTATAAAAAAAAATATAACCAGCACATTAAACCCATGACTTCAGGGTTATTACTGCCAGAATATGGCAAAGTAAAAAAAGTCAAATGATTGTTTTTTTTACATTAATTCTTCAGTTCCACAAGTATTTATTGATTGTCTTTGTGCCAGGCACAGGCAGAAAAGGAAAGTGGCTAGCTGAGACCTGCCACAGGAGGTGCTCGGTAAATACTGCATGAATGAATGAATCACTAGGCAAAATGAATGCACACAAGACGTACACACAGACAACTACTTATTTTGTGCAGCCAAATCAGTATGTAACTTTGGCAAACAGTTCAATTCAACGTTTAATGAGGGCCGGCCTCGTGGCTTAGCGGTTAAGCGCGCGCGCTCCGCTACTGGCGGGCCAGGTTCGGATCCCGGCGACGCACCGCTTCTCCGGCCATGCTGAGGCCGCGTCCCACATACAGCAACTAGAAGGATGTGCAACTATGACATACAGCTATCTACTGGGGCTTTGGGG